GTACATATAGATTTAGAATAGTAGTTATATTTTAATGATCGAAATACCAAAAAATCGGACAAAAAATTGAGCCGAACCGAAACCCGATATCCGGATTGAGCACCTATAATCCGAATGAAACCGAACTATTGTTTCATTTTTCAAAACATAATAAAAATAATAGCTTCATCCCGCGCAAGGCGCGGGTCTTATCCTAGTTCTATTATTTAATCTCGAGGTGGTCTAAATAAACAGACCGAAATATAATAACCAATGTAACAAAATTCCATATGAAAGAATCTGAAACTTTATTTTGTGTCCTTGCAATATAAGATAGCTCCAAGTCTAGAAAACATATCGTCACCGTCTTGCTTCCTCGATATTTTTATTAAAGGGCCAAAGCCCAAACACACTACAAGCAGATTTAACTCATTTTCACTTACACATTCAGCTCAATCGAAACTCAACTTGGTGGCATTCGGGTACCATTCGGATTTGAATCGAATATTTTGGATTTTCATATATTTCGGTATAGGGATCTAAAACTCATCGGGTATTTTTACATATCGGGTCGGATTCTGATATTCTTACTTCGGTTTCGGTTATTTCAGTTTGGGTTAAGATATTTTAGATTTTGAAAAAAAAAATCAAAGTCTTCACTATTCAAGTTTTTAAGGTAACTGATTTTTAAATTTTTAATAAGTTAAATGATTAATAGGTTTGCAAACAAAATTTTGAAAATTGAAAAACAGTAATTTGTTAATATTGTGAAATATCGAATGCAACTTTTGTTAATACATAAAATAAAAAGTTTGACATACATTTTAAATGAATAGTTAATCAATTTGTTCACAACTATATGTATATGATTTTGAACCATATACAATATTAATGTAAAATTTTGGATAAAATGGGTGAAGTAAACGAAAAAATATAAGATTAAATATACATAAGTTTGGTTATTTTCGGATTCGGATATTAACCATTCGGATTTGGATATTCAATCTCTCCTAACTTAATACTCGTCCTGGACAATGGAGATCAGTGTGTGATCATCAGACCATGACATGCCAATGAGGCGTCCCCAAGGGTGTTTCCAGGCGGTCTCGGTGAGGAGTACACCTGCTGAGTTGAAGATGCGGAGTTTTCTTAGAGCAGATTCAGCGTAGAGTTGGACAATCTTGGAGTCGTCTCGAATGACTGTGATGGGTCCACCAAAGGAGGCACAAGCCACCTTGTTGCGGCTCAAGTCTACATGTTCCAATCTCATTTGGTAGATCTCAGGCTTCCTGTAGTATTGGTTATAGAGAAGCTGCTATCCCGCGGCAACAGAGATGCTCGCCATCTTGTTTCGTCAAGACCTGTGAAGCAATAAGTCTCAGATTCATAGAAACAGTGAAACAAATATACACAGACACACTACTTCTTCAATAAGTCTCAGATTAACACAATTAGTGGCACACACACCACTACAGTTTCAATAAGCTTCAGATTCATACAAACAGTCGTCGTACACACACACACACACTACTAAAGCTTTAATAAGCCTCAGATTCATACAAATAGTGACACACACACACACACACACACACACACACACACACTAATTACTACTATTATTACATCTTCAACAAGAGCGAGAAAGAGCCTTATATAACCGCACACCATCAAAAGGAACTTGAATAGCAATCAATTGGGCTAAAAGGAGGAAACATTTTCAAGTTTTATGTGCAATTGATCATGTGATATCGCAACAAAGATTCGACGATGAAAGGAGAAACATTACATCATCGGGTAAGAAAAAAAGTCCGACTTACTTTTAGAAATGATATCCACGATTGGTCTTGAAAAAAGTACAGTTTTCTCAAATATATATTTTAAAGTTTTTATCACAAAATAGACTTCAAAAATAAAATAACATTTTTTTTTTGAAAATTGTAAGTTTTCTTTTTCTAAAAAAAAATTTGAAATCATATCCCCAAAACCCCACTCCTCAACTCTAAACAAAAAGGTCTAAGATTAGTCAATCCAAAGGCTATAAGTGTATATTTACTTATTTTTGATAAAACGTTTAAGTTTATTTTGGTCATTTTTATTTTTAAGGTCTATATTTCTGACAAAAATATTTTTAGTCTATACAAGAAAACTTCTCAAAAAATTGATTACGGGAAAGAACTCATCAACTACGACGGAGACAAAGTTCATTCACGATCAAGAGAAGGAGAGATCGGAGCACAGAGCCACGATCATAGATTTCTATAAAGTTCGTTGATTTTAAAATTTGAGAGATTTTAAAATTTGGAAAGAGTTGTAGAGAATTTTGTATATTGTGAAAATCTATAAAATAAATTAATGTATTGATTTTAAGAATCTAAGGGAAATATGTAATATTCTTAAAATCTTGTTTTGTGAGTTAAAATGTTAAGAATAATCCCAATAACACTTATTTTAATAGAGTTGTAGAATCATTAAAATCTAAACTTTTTAAAAAACAAATGATTTTCTATAGAATTATTAACTCATCAAACCTATAACACTAGTTTCTAATGAGAATGTAAGAATCTATAACCTAATAAGAATAGATTTAAAAATTCTAAAAATCATTACAAATTAAATTCCCTCTAATACCCCCTAAATTAACATAAAAATTCTTGGCCTGCAGAAATTAACCGAATCAAACCTGCCAAACCGAAACAAAATTTTTGGTTTTTAGTTTGGTTAAGAATTTAATTAATCCAATTTTTTATAAAAAGTCAGTTATCCGTTAGATTCCATTTAGCAATCGGTTAGTTGAGTTTTTTCTAATCCTAACTAAACTATATATCAAACTAAACAAAAGTACCTGAAGGTATCCAAATCTTCAACCCAATTCAACTACAATTTAAATGAAAATTTAAAAACTTTAATTTAGTTTCATCATTCAAAAAAGAAAAAGAAAAATTGAACTAAAGTTCAACAACCAAACTAATCTAAAATCAAATTAGCCATGTCCAATTAACTATTTGACTCAGATTCAGATGCCTAAATACTGGATTAAAGAATTTAACTAATTTTATAAAAATTCAATTGAACAAATTAATAATATTTCAAAATAAATTTATATTACTATTCTAGATTTTATTTGTAATCATACTAATATTTTAATACAACAATTAATTTGTGTAAATATAAAATTAAGTTAAAGTAAACATTTTGATTTATTTTAAATTATATTTAAGAAAAGATATATGTATATATATACATATATATATATATATATATTTAAAATTATAATCCTAGATAAATTTCAATTATTTCTTTTGTTTAAGATATATTAAATCAATCTGGACATTTTTTTTTAAAAAAAAATTGATATAGTTTTATAATTATCAAAAAATAAAATTAAATAGAATTTCTAAATTTTGTAGATATCAAAAGAAGACAAATGATATTACGATTAAAAGTTAATTTTTTATTAAATTTTTTTATAAATTTTGAAAAGATTTTTAGTGGTAAAAATTGTATGATTATAAAAAATAAACTTAAATAATATTTTGAAATTTTGAAAAGATATTTTTATTTATATTCTTAATTATTTAATGTCTTAATTAAATAGATTTATTTTAATGATAATTTCCATATACTAAAAATTTTACCAAAATATAAACCTACATTAAATGTACTTGTCATGTCATCTTTTATGCAAAACCATGTCATCTATTCTACCATGATATGTCATATTGTTTTTAGTGAAAGTGATTCTCAACATGACATGTCTCAACTCTTTTCTCAAATAATGTCTAGTGGATTTTAAAAGCATACAATTAAATTTTATAGAAGCCGAATTCTTTAAAGTTTTATGAACATTTTGAATCTTTGTATAAAAATGCACAAAGAAGAAACAATTTTTTTCTGAAAAATAATAAATTCATAGTCATTTACATACTGTATAGATATAAAGTCATTTAAAACATGGAATAAAGACACATTCCACTCTTTTGATTGTCCCTCATACACTTTTATCTCTATACAATGATATTTCTTCCTTTGGTTCTGGATCCCTTAGTAAATATCTTTTTATGTACAATAAACCAAATCATTCTTAAATATAATTTTTATATTTGTTTGCAAAAACTCCAATTTCATAGAAATTCTTTTTTTTTTTTACATTTCCACTACACATATAATCTTTTAATAAGATTTTGTAAAAGAAAATGTCAAAAATTCACCTTTAAATGGAATTCAAAATTGCCAAATGTAGATGTGCGTGACGAGAATTATGGCGAAGGGGAAAGAATGTGAAATCCATAGAGTTGATGAATGGTTTGTGAATATTTAATTTGAAGTTTAATACTTTGGTTTAAAATAGATAATAAGTGAATTATTAAATGGTTTCTTAGTGTATTTTAACCACTGTATAATGCAAATAGTCTTTATATTCTTTAGTTTCCCTATTAGAATATAACATAATTATACCATCAATCTTAATAATACGAGTTTTAGTCCTACCAATTGTTTTAATAGTACCTTTAACTTTAAACTAGGTGGTTGCCCGCAAATTCGTGCATATAAATATTGTATGAAAATATATATTATGTATGCAATGTCATAAATTTTTAATAATAATTAGAAACATTAAAAACTAATTTTTAACTTCAAATAGTTTAACAGCCAGTTTTAAATTTTCCATAAATTGATGTAAAAATAACTGATGGATATTTAACAATAACAAGTAATTGTGAAATTATATTATGCATCTTCGTCGGTCTCTTCTTAATTTTGTCGTTATCCTTTCTTTCTTTTTATTAATTTTTGCTAATATTTTCTTATCTGTTTACATATTTTTTGAAAAATATTTATTTATCTTTAAATAGTAATACAAAACATACAATTAATGAACCAAAAATCCATCTTAGAATTATTTTTAATCATAACATTACCTTATTCACAATAATTTTTGACTTAAATGCAAAAAAAAAATTAAATCAATTTTCTCACATGTTTCGTTAAATATAATCCACCCAATCTGCAAAGCCTAACTATTTATAAATCATACATTATAAGAGATTAATAATTATTATAGATACGAATATATTTTTATATGAATATGAAATTACTATGTCGATTTCTATAAATTGTTTTATATTCCTTTTTTACAGTTTTAATAATAATTAGATACATAATATATAATATTTAACTTCATATAGTTTGACAATCTTTCGTAAAGTTTCCATAAATTTGATGTAAAAATAACTGATGAATATTTAGTAATAATAAATACTTGTGAAATTATATTATGTATGTAATTGTACATCAACTTATCCAACACATATTATGCATCTTCCTCGGTCTCTTCTTATTTTTCTCGTTATCATTTTTTTCTTTTATAAAAATTTTGCTAACATTTTCCTATTTTTTACATATTTATGCCAAATATTTATTTATCTTTAAATAGTAATACAAAACATACAATCGATTAACCAAAAATCCATCTTAGAATTATTTCAATCATAATATTACCTTATTCATTATATTACTTGACTTAAATACAAAACATTTTTTAAATCAAAGTTCTCACGTATTTCATTAAATATAATCCGTCCAATCTTAAAAAATTAACTATTTATAAAAGCATACATTATAAGGGATTAAAAATTATTATAGATACGACTATATTTCTATATGAATATAAAATGATTATATCGATTGCTATAAATTGTTTTATATTCATTATGTAGTATATAAATATAAAAATTAATCGAACATTATTACACTTTCTATAATTTTTAAAGTTAGTAAATTAGTTTGATTAACTACTTTTAGCACTGTCAGTGTCTCCCCTGTTTCCGTCGCTTCCAGACGACGTAGCCATTGACATCATAGCTCATGTACCCATAAGTTTCCAGGAGTTCCCGGAAACGCATTGCCTCGTTTAGTCTCTACGAGGTACGATCCCAGCTAGGCCTCAGAGAAGACCGTGTCTATGCTGTCCTCCACGGCCTTAGTGGGGCTGGGTACCGTTTCTACATCCTCCAACGGAAACTCAACGGCGGTAACCGGTTGGTGGTTGTCTCGTCACTTCCTCCCTTAGATTCTTCTTCAAGCTGTGTCTCCGTTGGTTCAAAGTTGTATGTGTTTAATGAGCTCAATGTGCTTAGCAGAGACTGCAGATCTCACAAGTATCAGAGCATCCCTAGAAAGCCTCTGAACATGATGGATAAAGTTGCTAATGTCATTGACGGGAAGTTTACCTGAGTGGTGGTTACTTTTTTTCCATTCGCGCCTATAAGTAGGTGGTCGAGGAAGGTAGTCATGGTGTTTGATACCGAAATCTAAACGTGGGAGCCTATGATGGAAGATGGCTGCATTTATACTCTCTGGTCTTATTCTGTGGTGATGGGGGATAAGATTTACATGATAGGTTACATGATTTGTGATTCTTTTGTTTATGGATCAGGGGAAAAGCAATGGGAATCGATGGATGAGGTGTTATATTCTATGAACTGGAAGGGTCCGTGTGTGGTTGATGATGTTCTCTACTATCTTGATTGTTCAGAGAAGGCGTTAAGGGCATTTGATCCAAAGCAGAGTGCGTGGAGTGTTGTCAACGGTTTGGACGAGCTTTTGTATGTGGTGGAGACTGCTCAATCAAAGTGGTCCAAAGCGGTGAAATGCGGTGAGAAGAAGTTGGCTCTCTTCTTTTCTAGAAACAATGACGGCAAGGAGGTCATCAGAGATTGCTTTGGAAAGACTCTTAGGTGGAGAGATTTAGTGTAAGATGGAATCGTGTGATGTTGATGTTGTCGATGTGGATGGGAATGGACTGTTTGAAATGGAGCAATGTGTGCATGTTACCTTTGATCAGTAATATCTCTGTTTAGATCTCCTCGTATTTAAATTATCCTAAATGCCATCTCGTGTGGTTGTTTGTAATAAGTCCTGACAACGTATATACTATTGTTTTTGTTGGAATTCATGAGTGTTTGTTTCATGTTAAGAGAGTAGCCAGTTAAGCTGTAACTGAATCCCCTTTAACCATACAACAAAAACTCACCATTCAAAGGAAGAGAAAACCAACTGATGGTTGAATCCTCTTAAACAACTTAACACACAACAAATGTCCTAGAGAGCACTGGTTACAATAGCCTACACTATAACCATATCTTAGATAGTAAACTAACTATGTGTGGAAAAGAATCTCTAGTTTGAATCTGCTCCTTGAGAAGTGACATAACACTTTCAGTTTGTTCACTTAAGGAGAATAGGAATTAAAATCAGTAATCTAGAGTTTAAGAAGTAGATAAAGAAGAGTGATTTTGACAAGTATTAGACTGTCTTAAGAGACAAATAGAGGCACCTCTAAACCATAATTCTTAAACTCTTACATTGTGAACATTAGTTAGACACAAGTGAGAGAGAGAGAGCACACACAATTTAGTGAGAGAAACTTATCTATTGATTATGGTAAATGTTACAAGAGATTAAGAAGCCTTTAAATAGGCAATATTAAACAATTACTAAAACAAAGAAACATAAACAAATAATTCTGTAGAGTTTCTGATGAAGACAAAGAGGACGAGAGATAGTGAGAGTGACAAGAAGTAGAGGCATAGTCTCTTTGGTTTAATAGTGACAGGTCCAACAGCTTCTCTTAAGCAACACATGTGATTTCTTCTGGTATAAATCAAACCAGAACTGAGTACTTCCATCAAAACTTGATTATCTTTACTTCTGGAGGCTTTTAATGTCCATATTGAGTCTCCCCAACTTCTTTCTTGCCTTATTTTGTTATCCAGATTTCACTACATTTTATTGTCGTTCACTGCACTTCGCTACACTTCGCCGCACTTCGTTGCACTTAACTGAACTTCGCTGCACTTCACTTTATTCCTAATCTTGTTTATTGCTTCATCTCAACACTCTCTCTCAAGCTTGACCATAAGAGATCCTTGGGCAAACTTGGAACCTTGAAGAAGCTCCATCAATAAATACCTTAGCCATAAAACTTTTTTTGGGATAAAACCAGCTAAGGAAAAGAGTAGAGTTCTTCAAAACCTAGGGATTGGCAAGTGAATCTAAGGAGCTTTAGATAACTCATGGTGGAGTCTTTAGACTCTGGATCATGATCTTACTTCAATGGCAAGCAGGAACCAATGCTTTCTTTTTTCACACTCATCACACCTTTGAGCTTCTCCTTGTGGCCATGGCTTGTCTCCCCCCCTTTCTTCTGGCTTCTTTACCTTCATCATGAGTTGAGTCCAAGCTTACCTTGTTCATAAGCTCAATAGGTACCTGATGCAAGAGATACAAACTGCATGTATCAATTATCAAAGGGAAAACCAATCAATCATAATAATGAATATAGATTTAGGTACTTTCCATGAATAAGAAGAATGGACACTGACTTCTCATATTAACACCCCTCCTCAAGCTTGACCTGAGAATGAGAGTATATGGTCAAGCTTGGAAGAAGAGAGCCACTGATGAACAACGATGCCTTAAGACCACATCCCCCTTGGCTTGAACTTTGGCCTTTTCTCTTGATTGTATTTCCTGTCCATCCTCTTGGCATCAGACAAGTCACTTCTAAGCAATATCTCCACTACTTCATTCATCCTCTCAACCAAGGTGTTGATGGGCATTGGGAAATTTCAATGGTCAGGAATATACATCATGTGTAGGCTCTGATCAACAGGGGAAAATCTCCATGGTCAGGAATATGCATCTTGTGCAGGCTCTGATCAACATGGACAACTTGTCAACCAACACTAAGACAAGCATCAGTAGACAACAAAAGATCAAATCATGGGTTTTTACTAAGTCTGATCTTTAAAATACATTTCACACAAGCAATGGAAAATTATCTTCATGATTTTATCCTAGCAACACTCTCTGAATCCTAATCAACAAGACTAAGTATCCAGGCAAGAACATAATCAATTTTTTAAGGACAGAAGCAAGACTATTCTTTCAAGACAGCTTAACTTCAAAAAAGTTTAACAACCTCAGTCAGATTCTAACAAGATTGTGAGACTAGAAATTTAAGTAAGAAGAGATTAAGTAACAAGAGACTAATTAGAGAGTAGAGAATGATGTAGCCAGAAAATGAGAGAATAATTGAGAATGAGTAACCTGAGAATCAAAGAATGAGAGAATATGGAATATATAATTTTTTCAAGAGTTCTAATGGACATAGTTTTGCTATATTTTCTTGAGTTTTTCAGAAGCATTAATATTCAGGAGCATCCAATACTCATCAAGAGTTTGGTGCTTTAGTAGCTGAAACACAATGGACCACTAAACAATTAATTTATTCACTGATTTTAGACATGTGCCACTAGAATATCTCATACACTGATGTTTTCCAGAGCTTGCAACAAGTGAACCATCAGAATAACACATGAACAAGTGTTTCTGTGGCGTAGACAACAATGAATCAATGGATCAAAGAAGTTTGTCCACTAGTCAAAGGAATGCTCCATTAAGTGAGAGTTATTATCCAATTGATAAAGCATAATGGGGAAGCGTTTTAGAAGCCTTTCTCTTCCTCAGGCTTGATTTCAAGATACTAACAAGTATTGGCCAAGATTAACTATATCGGAGTGGGAGATAAATGATTTATTCAAAAATATAGAGAAAATATGTGAGTTTGATCCCAAAGAAGAGCAACAAGGCTCTCATACCATATTATAATTCACGAGTGTTTGTCTCATGTCAAGAGAGTAGTTAGTTAAGTTGTAACTGAATCCCTTTTAACCATATAACAATAACTCACCATTCAAAGGAAGAGAAAACCAACTGGTGGTTGAATAACACACAACCAAATGTCCTAGAGAGTACACTGGTTACATGAAGCAGCCTACACTATAACCAAGATCCTGATAGTAAACTAATTATGTGTGGCAAATAATCTCTAGTTTAAATATGTTCCTTGAGAAGTGACACAACACTTTCATTTTGTTCACTTAAGGAGAATATGAATTAATATAATTAGAATTAATAATTTAGAGTTTAAGAAGTAGATAAAGAAGAGTGATTTTGACAAGTATTAGGCTGCCTTAACATACAAAGAGTTAAAACAACCTCTAAACCATAATGCTTAAACTCTTACATTGTACACATTAGTTATACACAAGTAAGAGAGATAGCACACAAAATTTAGTAAGAGAAACTTGTTTATTGATTCAGGTAAAGGTTACAAGAGATTAAAGAGCCTTTTAATAGACAATATAAAACAATTACTAAAACAGAGAAACATAAACAAATAATTCTGTAGAATTCTGATGAAGACAAAGAGGACGAGAGGTAGTGAGAGTGACAAGAGGGAGAGGGACAGTCTCTTTGGTTTGATAGTGACAGGTTCATCAGCTTCTCTTAAGCAACACATGTGACTTCTTCTTGTCTAAATCAAACCAGAACTAAGTAGTTCTATCCAAACTTGATTCGCTTAACTTCTGGAGCCTCCCAACGTCCATATTGAGCCTCCCCAACTTATTTCTTGCCTTATTTTGTTATCTAGATTTCACTCATTTTATTTCACTACACTTTATTGCACTTCGCCTCATTTCACTGCACTTCGTCGCACTTCACTGAACATTGTTGCACTTTACTTTATTCTTATTAATCTTGTTTATTCCTTCATCTCAACAATCCCCCTCAAGATTGACCATAGGAGATTCTTGGGTAAACTTGGAACTTTGAAGAAGCTCCCTCATTCAAAACTTTAACCAGAAAACCTTTTTTGGGATAAAACCAGCTAAAGAAAAGAGTAGAGTTCTTCAAAGCCTAGAGATTGGCTAGAGAGTCTAAGAAGCTTCAGATAACTCATGGTAGAGTCTTTAGACTCTGGATCATGGCATTACTTAAATGGTAAGCAGGCACCAGTGCCATCCTTGCTTCACACTCATCACACCTTTGAGCTTCTCTTTTTGGTCATGGTTTGTCTCTTCCTTTTTTCTGGCTTCTTTGCTTTCATCATGGGTTGAGTCTAAGCCTGCCTTGTTCATGAGCTCAATAGGTACCTGATGCAAGAGATACAAATTGCATGTATCAGTTCTCAAAGAGAAAGCCTATCAATCATAATAATGAGTATAGATTTAGGTACTTCCCTTGCATAAGAAGAATTGACATTGGCTTCTCTTGAGTTAATCTAAAAGAGTTTTAGGACAAAATTATATTCGACAATTGGAGAGAAAAACATTACATCATTGGTAAGAGAAGAGGATAACATTGAAAAAAGACTTAAAGCCAACCACTCTCAGTCTTAGTACATAAAATAAGATAAGCAACAGAGATATTAATGGTGATAATCATCAGGATCAAACACAGCTTTTCAAATAGCACCAATCCTAAGATAAAGATTTCACCAAGTTAGTTCAAGAAACACTTCATCAAATTACAACATCATAAAAACGAGAAACAGTTCTTCATGTTCAATAGGAACTGTAAATCGTATACTACTGATCTTAACGTGAGTTCGAGGATCCAAAGTTGGTTACAAAAGCACCCAAACTGATCGAACGGTTCACATAACAAAATGAGAATGCTACATATAGCAAAGCATTAAATTCGCGAATGCCACACTTCTTAGCGGGAAAATTTCGACGGTGAAGACGCGTGTGACGAAGATAACCGAATCATCTGTAAGATTTTGCTGCCTAAACCGACGGAAGGATTCTTCATCCCCTTTTCTTATATTTTATAAGCTTAAAAAAGGAAAATTGAACTCAGTAGCTAAGAAAAAAAACAACAGAATTAACAATCTAACCAAAATTTTGTTCTCTTTCTTATATTTTCTTCCTATCTCCTTATTTTTCTCTCTAAAATCTAATTTTTATGGCTATTTAGCAAATAAATCCCTTAAAAAACATGTCACTCACTCAATTGCATTTTTCCACAATTCCTTTTACTTTTTTTTTAACAATGACACAATTATTTTTAAACACTTGTTTATTAAAAACTATGTAAATATTATTGGTAATTTTACAGCTGATCAATAATCTCAGAAAAAAAATCAATTCTACCACAATTTTGATATCATTTTCAAATTACCATTAATAAATGACTATTTTCATAAATACTTTAAAGTCATGATATAATAATATTAAATAAATCATAAATCCAAATATTAGTATTTTTTTATTGGGGTATTAATGAAAAGTGATATTTACCTGTGATATTTTAGACAATTTCTTATCATTTTAAGATTTTTTTTACATATTTTTGTCATTATTGGAAGGTGTAGAAATATTAATAAATAATTATCTCGATGGACTAAAGAGATTTTCAAGAATTTTTACCATAATTAAAAAAATAAAATTAAAATTAAAATAATAAAATTAAAATTAAAATAAGAAATACAAATGAAATAAATAAAAACTGCAAGAGACTAATATCGTACAATACATGTCAATTTCAATATTTGTTAGACAAAATCCATGTTTGGTCTTAAAATAAAATTGATTAAGGGAAAGCATTTCGAGCAATTAGCAATAATTTTTGGTACTCGTGGACCGGGACAACAGAGACGAAGTTGATTTCACGATCAAGAGGGAGAGAGATCGGAGCACAGAGTCACAATCCTTTTTGTTCTTTAAAATAAATTTAACATAAAATTCAAGGCATGTCGAAATTAATCAAACCAATCTTGCCGAACCGAAACAATTTATTTTGGTTTTCAATCCGGCTACGAGTTTAATTAATTCGATTTTTATAAGAAGTCAGTTATTGGCATTGGGATTATTTGCTATTCCCTCTGTTTCGTGTCACTTTAGTGTTGTACACACAGATTAATGAAACAATTAATTTTTCATTCCTATATACAAACACAATTATCAATACACTTAACCATATTTCAACTAATATAAAAATAAATTACAAAATAAAATTAATATATTTCACATTGATAACCGAAAACAACACTTATTTTGTAACGAAAAAATTCTCTATTGTGACACTTATATGAAATGGAGATAGTAATAAATTATATCAAACTAACCAAAATTAACTGATGTTATCCAAATCTTCAAACAAATTAATCTACAATTTAAGTGAAAATTAAAAAATGTAATTTTATTTCATCTATTTTTTAAAAAACTGAATCAAAGTTCAACAACTAAGCTAATCAAAAAGCAAATTATCCAAATCAAATTAAATGTTTGACTCGAATTCATATGTCTAGAGAGGTGATATTGGATTAAGATATTAATTGATTTTGAAAAGAAATCAATTGAAGACATAAATAATAGATTTTTCAGTATTTTAAATAATTTGATGAGAATTTTAATGTATTTTTCTAATTCTATATTTTAGATTTTGAAGGAATACAGTTAAATCTGATAGAAACCAATTCCTTTAAATTTCACAAATTCATTTGAATATTTGTATAAAAATGCACAAAGAAAGACCAAAAAAATTTCTGATAAAAATAATAAAACTATAATCATCTGTGAATATAAAAGTATAAAGATCTAATAAATAACTGAAATAAACAAATCTTCTTCAAATCCTAGCTTGAATATTAAGAATTGATTATTTATATTTTATCATAAAATTGCCATAAATTCTTTTCAAATACAGTTACCCTATTACATTTTTATCGAAGATCCAAATCCAATCTCTCCAATTCATATCCGACGTCGACGCCATATAAACAACCTACAAAATCTTAGTATACACTTTTAATCGTCTCTGATACACATCTATCTCTATAGGATGACATTTCTTCTTTTTGACTCTGGATCCTTAACTTCAAACCGCGTAGATATATTCTACGGCTAGTCAAAATCCTAGATCCTCAATAGTAATATTACTATCCATGTTCATATTTCGTTTTCGAATTTCAGTTTGAGTATTAAGAATTGATTATTACATTTTACAATAATATTTCCATTATTCATTTCAAAATATAATTACCCTAAAATCTACCAAAAACTGAATAATACAAATATTTATTATAATTAAAATTTAATGAATTGAATAACACTAGAATTTAAAGTATTTAATAAAATGATATCAAATACATAATTGAATAAGATAAAAATTTAAAAGAATTGATGAACTACATTGATAAATTATAACAAAAATATTTTAATGAAAACTTCAATTCTTTCAAATTTATTTTTGAATTTCTAAATTGAATACCCCACCTAAAACTTCTAATCGAAAAGAGAAAGTTTATTTTTGATCTTAACTATAACTAAATCACTTTATAACCAAATGAAACTAAACCGTATTAAACCCCAAATGCAAACCAAATCAAATGTAATTCAGTTGAGTTTGGCTGGATCCAAAGTAGCCAAACCAAACCGAATCCAAATTAAACCGAAATACCCACCTCTAGTCTAGAAGGGAGAACTACACGTTCATGTTTTTTTTCGATTACAAGTAGTTTTAAACAAATTGGTACAAAACTCCAATCTCTTTTAGGGTCTAGCGAAGCAGATCATAATGGTTTCGACCACTATAAAGAAGCCTAACAACATTCTTCTTCTTGTTGCCTTTTCCCCAGCCTCCTCTAAACTCAGCTCCATACTCTGCAATCGGTATAAAACCCGACCCATACCCTCCTCCTCTCCTATGCTGCAAATCAAAGATCCGAATACAACAGAGACCTGGTTGTTTAGCAAGAAGAGATGAAACATAGATTTTTGTCTGATTATGACTCAAGATACCTCATGCTCTGGTATGTAGACAATGATTGGTTGTTTACATAGCTTGGAAAGAACCTGTTTAAAGAAAAAAACACCGTTACTTTTTAGATTGATGTGGAACATTTTGAGAGTTTACATTGCAGAGAAGCTATTACTCACTAGCAGCTCAGACTCTCCTCCCCAGAAATCATGTCTTCCAATCCTCTGGCAATACCTGAAGCAAAACGTTGATGTCACAGCAAGAATCAAATAGTTATGTAGCTCTAAGAAGATGGGGGATTGTTGTGACTCTACCGTTTCAGAGACTCATCCACTGTGATAGCTATTAAAGCTTCTTTGTACTTCTCCCTTTCCTTGGGGTCATTGCATATAACCTCTTTCACAGCCATTCGTAATTCATCTGTGCATGAAATGCAAGTTTTTTATGTTGTTGTTTTGCCCACACAGAAAGCTGATGAACGAGAGTTAAACATTCAAACGGATAAAAGGTTTATCAACTACTCATCAATCAATAGTCCCCAATAGACAAGATGGTATACCAACAAAACTAAAAGGCTAACAGACTGAAAGCAAAAACGGACAAGCTCAGCAAGCTTAACTCAGCATCAACCTCTTGAATGATTTCCCAGCTACTTAGCAACCAGGGATTCCACAAGATATATTTCGAGATCCAAGAAAACCATAAGGCCAACATACTTGTAAAAACTCTACTTTTGATCTCTAAGTTAACAGAAACACACCCTAAACACCAAAAACATTGTGGGGGGGGGGGGGGGGGAAAAAAAA